AGTGGAAGTGGCTTTGGAATTGGGCAATGAAAAGAGGTTGGAAAATTTCTGAGGTGCGTGATACAAAAAGCCGAGATTGCCTTCAACAGATCTCAGATGATATATGGTTAACAGCCATCTATATGGATGTTAATAACTCTACTGCAGTTTCAGAAGAAAGTGAGAAGCATGGTACAGGAGGCCTATATTGTCTTAGAGAATAACTAAATCATCATAAACAGACTGTTGGTAGAAAAATGGATGTTAAAGGTGCTGCTGGTGAGGGCTCGGGTGAAAATGAGAAACATGTTATTGGAAAATAGTGGAAATTGGATCCTTGTTATATAAAGGCATAAACTTAGCTGAATGGTGTCCTTCATGATTTAGTTATGTGGAAAATGGACTTGTAAGCAATGAACTTGGACATTTAGCTGAAGAGATTTCCAAGCAAAGTGTTGAACGTGTGAACTGGTTTGTTCTTGTTATTTATAGTAAAATGCAAGAGGAAACATAAATTTAGGGAAGAACTGTTAAGCATAAAAAAATGAGGACTTGATGATTTGGGAAATTCTCAGCCTATCCAGATTGCAGAAGATGCTAAAAATAAGAGATTCACTGTTAGGAAAGCATGCTAGGGAGAGAGCCAGGAGTGTGGTTGGACAACCTTTTACTAGTGCCTTGGAAGGATAAAAAGTCAGAGTATTCAATAATAGAGACAGCTCTTTGAAGAGCTTGTGATTCATGGATTCCCTCAGTCATCTCAGCAGAAGCCAGGAATAGAGATGGAATTTTTCCAGGAAAGATCTGTGGAGGAATATCTTGTTTAATGAAGTGACATACACAGGGGACCACAAGGTCCTTGAGAATTTCATACCAGCAGAAACACTGCCAGCTTGGAATGCAAGGGAGAGAGACAGGATGAAATAAAAGAAGTTACTTGGACACTCAAAACTCTTCAGGCAGGAAACAGGCTGACAACACTACTCAGCTGCAAACATACGCTACTTTTCAAGAAAAGGAAGAATGACTGCTTTTCAAGTAAAAGGATGAAACAGAAGAGACCCAAAAAGTTGGAGCCTCAAGCCAGAGGGCTATTTCCAGGCCTTGAAACCTAATGTTGTTTTTCTGTCTGGATCTCTAAATTGCTTGGGACCAGTGGCTAATTCTTTCTTTCATTTTCTCCTTTTTGGAATGGGACTATCTATAAATGTTATGTTACGCCTGTCTCACCATTATACTTCGGAAGCAGATAACTTGTTTTCTAGTTCCGCAGGTCCACAGATGAAAAGCTATTTTGTCCCAGAATGGATTATATCCAGAACTTCATTCGTGCCTAATTTTAAGATGATTTAGATGATGAAATTGGGGACTTCTAGGTTCATGGAGCTTAGATATTTTGGACTTGAGTTGATGCTGTAATGGGCTGAGACTGGGAGTTTGAGATAGAGTGAATGTATTTTATATTTGGATGGATAAGAATCTTTGGGGGGCCAGCAAATGAACAATGTTAGCCTGAATAGTGCTAACATTTAGAATAGATATTCTAAATATCTAAGCTCCATGAACCTAGAAGTCCCCAATTTCATCATCTAAATCATCTTAAAATTAGGCACGAATGAAGTTCTGGATATAATCCATTCTGGGACAAAATAGCTTTTCATCTGTGGACCTGTGGAACTAGAAAAACAAAATAGCTTTTTTTTATTTTAAAAATAGTAAAATTGCATTTTTAAGTCCTTAAATTTTTGGTAATTTGGCAGCATTAGGAAACTAACACGCAAGTCAATAAAAATTTATCTATTTATATATTTATGCAACAGATATTTATTGACCACCTGCTATACCCTGAGCTGGAAAAAAATCTTACTATCATTTTAAAAAGTAAGCTTGTGTGTGTGTGTGTGTGTGTGTGTGTGTGTGTTTAACTGAAATGACTTGAAGAGAAAGGAATTTCAACTTGTGTAGGTATAATCCAAATTAAAGTATTCAAATACAAATATTTCATTTTTAAGTATGCAGAATTTATGGTAAATAGGTTAACATACTAAAAATAATATTACTATTGCAGTAATTTTAAAATTATTTCTAATTAGCATGGTCCATATTGAAATGTTTATTTAAAATTTTTTGCTTAAACATACATCCTTTTTTTCCCATTTGGTAAGCAAAATATTCCCTCCTCGCCCTTGCCAGAATGTAATCATATAATAAATAGCAGTCCATTCTTTATAGGTTTGAATGAAGCTAACATTTTTGATAGTGTGTGAAATAGACTGAATATTTGTGTCCCCCAAATTTATATGTTAAATCCTACCCCCAAATATGATGGAATTTGGAGGCAGGGCCTTTGGAAGTTAATTAGGTTATAAAGGTGAAGCCCTCATGCATAGGGTTAGTGCCCTTATAAAAAAGACCCCAGAGAGCTGCCTTCCCCTTTCACCATGTGAAGCTACAGAGAAAAGGCAGCTCTTGATGAACCAGGAAATTCTCACTAGATACTAAATCTGCTAGCATCTTATTCTTGAACTTCCCAGCCTTCCCACTATGAGAAATAAATTTCTGTTGTTTATAAGCCACTCAGTCTGTGGTATTATGTTATTGCAGCCTGACTGGACTAAGACAGTCTCAAGAACTAACTTTTAAAAATAATTTTTCAATGTCTACTGATTTGTAAAATATATATTCTTGGCTCCCTCACTGATTCTGCTTCAGTAATTTCCAGTGCAGCCTGGTCATTGTAAGTCTCGATTTAAACTTCATCAATTAGCAGAAATTATAAAAAGTCCAAATTAAAAATTTTATTAATAATCATGCACAGTTATTTTCTTCCTTGGAACCTTCTTCAGTATTTAGTTAGTGCTTCCATTTGAAATAGCAAAAACAAATTTATAGCAATGTTAATAGCAGCCAATATGCTAAAGACAAAACAATTTGAGGAGAAAAATAACCACATTTTTGTATGGCATACATAGGAAACAAAATATAATAATTAAAATTGTTCTATGTAAGTTTATTTAACGTACTTCTATACTTAATGTTCATCCTTTAAACACATTGATAGTTAACAACAGATATTAATAGTAATTTTACTATGAGATTTTATCATACATTTCTTAGATAAGGCTTTTTCAGTAACAAATTAGGTTCACTTTTATGCAAATTATATGATCTATAACTTTTAGGAAAACTGATAAACTTTTTAAGTTAAAATTTCAGTTCTTGTAAAATGGTGATCTAATAAGTGTGGAGGACAGTGCGGGTTTTATGTAATACAGTGATGGATTAGTGATGGGCTAAATGGTTGTCTTTTGTCCTTGAGAGGGTGATAAACTTCCAATGAAGTATTGCTGTTGGTTAGAGAATCACCTACAATAGTTATAGATATAAATTTAACATGAGAGATGGTAGGGGGAAATAGATGATGGGATAATTAGAGATAATAACTAAGAATCCTTTTGCTATGGGGAAATCATTGTGTTGTCGCAATGTTTTTCTGTTTTGTTTTATTTTTTAAGTAGTGCTGGGAACAGTTATGGTAGTCAATTAACGTAACATGGTGGTTGTAGTTGTGGTGGTTTCAGGCTCAACTGAAAAATATCACATCATTTGATCCCACAACAACCAAAACTAGTCCCACCATCTCAGACAAATCTACAGCATCATTTCTTGTGGTAGCTGTTACTTCCATTGTTGTATTGGTTTCTCGATGGTTATAAATTTAGTGAAAGTAATGGTGGTCATAGCTTCAACTGAAATTATTATAGTGTCTTTGTGGCAGTAAAATTATATAGAACATATGGTGCTTTTTGATTCTGCTAAAATAGTGAAGATGGTCTACTGTGCTTGTTGGTTCATTAGAAGCAATGGCAGCTTTGGTAGTTGTGGCCTTTGTTATCTGGATGTTAGTTGTTGTCATCTCAGTTAACTAGCACTGGTGGTAAATGTGGGGCAGAGTGAATGCATGATATTGAGGTGGCTGTATTTGTGAGAGAGATGAGTTTCATTGAGTAAGTAGCAATGGTTGATATGGTTGCAAATTCAAAGTTGTACAAATTATAGGTTTACTTCAAGTACTGGCTACAGAGAGTTGAGATAAAGTGGGAGTGGTGGCAGCTGTCCTGGTAGTAGGATAGTGGTGGTTATAAATTCCGCTGAAATATTGGTTCCCATTGTGGTTGAAGTGGTTAAAGCTGTGGGGTTATAGACTCATTTGAAGTGTTATAAATTCTGTTGAAGTGTTGTGTTATGTTAATAGTAGCTTCTGAAAAAAATTATGAGTGTTTATGAATGAAGTTTTGGTTCTTGCTTTTCTACCTGTACATTTTGTACATTGAGTGGTATTTGGAAATTAAATTTAAATGGGAGTGACTTTTTTGGCTGGAGGTTCAATGGAATTGGTAGGAGCTTTAGGTTTACTTCAAGGATAGTTGGTGCTGTGGTAGAGGGTTTACTAGAAGTGGAAGTTTGAGTTATTATATTTGTAGTTTCAGCTGAAGTGGTTATTATATCTCTAAGTGTAGTAGGTTCAGTAGAAATTGTAGTGCTTTCAGGTTCAGTGAATTAGGTGGTATCGACTGCATTTGTTGTAATTTCAAATGAAGAGGTTGTTGTATTTGTAAAAGTAGTAGGTTCAGTAGCAATTGTATTTTCAGATTCAGTGGAAGTGATCATTTCTGCTGTGGTCATAAGTTCAGTTGAAGTACCTGCAGTTGAATGGGTTTGGGGATCAACTGAGGAGGTGATACCTCTAGATTTACTAGAAGTCAGGATGGCTGTTGAGGCACGTTCAGAAGAGGTTGTGATGGTCGCAGGTACAGGAGTTATAATGTTCTGTTGGAGTGGTTATGGTTGTAAGGTCTGTGGGAGTAACGCTGGATATGACTTCTGTTGACGTGGTTATAGCTGTCGCGGTGGTATGATGCTCAATCAAAGTGGTAGGTTCAGTCAGAGGGGTGGTAGTGTCCCTCATGGTAGGTGGTTCTGTTGAAATGCTGGTGGTTGTTTCCATTATGGTAGCAGCTTCAGCTGAAGTGGAGGTTGTGGCAGTTGGTGTCTATAGGTTCAGCTGAAACTGTGTTGGTTGCAGGTTCAGGGGACATGGTGGTAGTGGGCTTTATGGCAACAGGTTCAGTTGCCATAAGTGGTGGAGTTGTCTGCTGTGGTGGTTGCAGGTTCCTTTGCTGTGATCATAGTAGTTGTACTGGTGAGTGCAGGTTGAAAAATAGGCAATGAGGTTGTTCCAGGGATGATTATTATAGGTTCCCCATCATTCAGAGGTATATGGATAGTAATTGGAGGAAAGAAATATGTACACAATTATCACTCTTTTTCATTCTTATGTCTGAATGAAATTTTTCAGACAGACCAGCTTCTGCAAGCTACCAGCTATTTTCACTTGGAAAATTGCTTATCCTCTCTGAGCTCAAGTCCTCATCTGTAAAATGCTACTAATAGGAGCACATGACTTAGAGTACTGGCATAAAGATTAATGGAGGTTAAACTGCTTTGTAAATTATAAAGTGCTATGCAAGTGAGAGGCTGAATACATGGTGGCTGGATGACAACATGACAGTGGGAAAAGAATAGGCTTTTGTACCAAGCATTCTTGGGTGTAAGTCTCAAAATTATGTGATCTAGTAGAAGTTTCTTCATTTGCCTGATCTCGTCCCATCTCAGCCAATTAATAGCTGTATAAATTCTGGCAAAAGTTTCAACTTTCCTGAATAATTTTTTTCAGTCAATAAGTGAAGAGATTGGATGGGATTAAATGGTATCTAAAACCACTCTCATCTCTGAAATTTAACTGCTTTATTTTACGTTTGCAAGCAAGGAGAAAATCCTCTTGCTTCTTCCCTTTTAAGATCACCCCTCCTAATACGTTGCCTCAGCTCTGCCAGAGTTGACACTTGACAGTTTTGTTTCAAGGACCAGGGCTCAGATCCTCCACAAGATGCTCCACAGTAGCAAGAAACAGAGCAGAGGCAGATTCAGAGCCAGAATAACAACCCAGCCCAAATATTAAGTATGTCACCGTCAAAAAATGTCAACTTTCTGCCAGGGTTGAGGGCTTAGAAATCATACTAAGAGAGGAAGTGAATATAGTAAGCATGACAAAAGCTCAGAAATATGGAAGATCGGAGCCTGGGCAACAAATTAAAGGGGAAAACACTGGGACATCAAGAGAGGTTTCTAAGTAAAGGTTAAAAACACTAAGATCAGAATCAGGAGAGCTAAAAACAGATTGTGGTCTCTAATACTCTTGACTGAAAGAAACCAGGGATCCTTGGAGGAATAGGGATCCTTGGAGCAATAGTTAATTCTGAGTCTGGGTCAGGGAAAGCAAAATGATATTCCTAGGACATCTTATTATACTAAAATACAATGAATCTGCCAAAGACTAATCAGGCTTTCTCAAGAAGACACAAGAGCCAACTTGAAAGCATTCCCAACTGGCCTAAAAGAAAAATCCAAGCATCAAAAATTGATTCAGGAAAAATATTCATTGGTCACCAACCAATTCATTTCTTTAAAAATTAATAAATAAGTGAAACATACAATATTTATGCTGTCATTTCTCTGAGAATTGTATTTCATTCAATTCAATTCAATCTGTATTCAATTCAATTCAATTGGTTCATCTTTGCCAAAGAGCTTCAGCTATAATGTAGAGGGAAATAAAAAAGTAAAAAATCACCATTTACCAACCCATAACGAAGAAAAGTGGATTTAGGCGAAGATTATCAATAGCTATTAAAGCCATTAGGTGAAGAGTTGAGGAGAAATATGATAGAGATATCAGCTTGATACCATCTGAATCTGCAAGCAATCTCAGCATCACAAAAAGTAGGAAAACCAGACTTCATATGATACGTGATTTTATGCAGTAAAATGCACACAGCATCGCCTCTAAATTGTTCTTGCCTCTGGTTTGCAAGAAATACAGAGGATAAAGGAACAAATCAAAAACTATCATGAGGAAGCAACCAATCCAATCCTGAATGTGGGGCATTCTATACGGCAAATGACCTAGTGTCTTCAACAAATCAGTGAGATCGAAAACAAGGAGTGGGGGTGTGAGGAACTGTTTTGGGCTAAAAGAGATGTAGACACATGACAATCCAAGCAACATGTATACTTAACTTGGATCCTAATTAAAACCAATTACAATTTTTGAGATAGAAGGGCAATCTGAACATGGCCGTGATATTAAATGATACTAAGGAATTACTTTTAATTTTGTTTTGATAACAGGAAGGTAGCTATGTTAGTAAAAAATGTCCTTATTTGATAGAGAAGCATGATGAGCTACTTGCAGGTAAAATGGCAATGCATGTTGACAAAATGTGTTTGGGAAAATGTTGATACGTGTTGAAGCTGGGTGATTCAAATATTGGTTATTTTTATACTCTTCTCTCTACTTTTGTTTTGGCTTAAATTTTCCCTAAGAAGGTCAGAGTTCAGAGGGCTAGAGAAATGGCATCCAGGCAGACTCAGACCCAGGATGGATCAGGGTCAGATGTGAGGCACGTCCCCACAGAGCAGAGCCCTTGAGGCCTGGAGCGCTGAACACACACCTCCACTGTACCACTTGAGCAGTTTACTTGCCCATTCCCTATCTATCTATGAGATATATATAGATATAGATATAGATATAGATATATCTCACTATATATAACTGTGTATTATATATGAACCATATATCCCATTCCACGCCCATCTCTCTCTCCCTCTCTCTCTCTCTATATATATATATGTGTGTGTGTGTGTGTGTGTGTGTGTGTGTGTGTGTGTGTGTGTGTATACACACAAACATATATATCAGTACATACTGAGCCAAGAGCACTGCCGTGGGGGTAATACTGGAGAACCAAGCAGTGTTGTCACAAACATTACCTCTCCATATTGGAATTGTCTCTCTGGACTGATGCAGGCAGCAGTGACACTGGTACAAACCTCACCACTGACATCCACTGACAGTGGAAATTGACATGCTGAACTCTGAACTTCATGGTCATATGGACTCTGGAATGTCTACAGGAACAAAACAACAGGACTAATTTTAAAAAAAGGAAGCCACCATGTTGAATTTTGAAGTGAAATTATTCTGAAAATTCTAAACCAGCTTGTGACATGCCATGAGATTGTTAGTAGGAGATGAGTATTTAAAATAAGACTTCACTACTGAATAAATCAAATGTTTTATTTTATTTAATGAATAAATTTTTCAAATAATATTTTCTCTCAAAATAATTAACTGAGGTCGAGTCATTATCTTTTATTATTGTAAATACTTTATTAATGTTTGGGGGTCAAGATTATACACCATCAATTATCATCATAACATGCTATTCCTTTATTAAATATCCCCATGTTTCAAGCATACATATAGGTGCATCCTATGAAGATACACCACCACAGTGCTTTTATGAGATATAAAAATAAATGTTTATACGTTATCAGAACTAAAAGGGAACTGACTGCTTACCAAAATCACCCTCTACCAGTAACTTTAGAAATAAGAATACTGAGAATAAGAGTGGTGCATAGACTTACCCTTAATAACACAATTTAGGAAGTGCTAACAATCCAATTTTCTCCTTCTGAGCCTGGGGGTCCCTGCAATTAAAACCACCACTTTAAAAACCCCTTAGACATAGACATACCCTGTGTTAACAGTAACTCAGTGCTCTAACAGAATACGAGTCTGAGTCCAAGGCAGAGCTAAGAAAGACCAAGCATTTTGTAGTCTGTCAACATGCATTTCTCAGTCTCTATCTCACCTCAAGGAGCTCTGCATACAATAAATAAGATTATGTAAATACAGAAATAATAAAGCATTGTTATGAGTGAAGTGAGAGTAAGGGAGGTAAAGAAATCTGAGTTCAGACAAATTGAGGATAGTGACTAAAATTTGAACAGGAAAGTGCTGAAGAGGATGGAAATGACATTTTTCATGATGTTTTATTTCTTAAGTTGGGTGTTTAATGCATGGTATGATAATGTTCTTACTCTTTATATTTGAATGTCTGAACTATTTCATAAATATTTGTTAAAATAATAAAAGGGAGGGATCAATGAAGAAAGTCTTGAGGGGATAGGCTTCTTCAAAACAGGTTAAAGATCCTGTTTGCATGTTTGCAGGACATATATTAAGTGAACCTTAAAAATGCATTCCAATATACACTAGATGCAGACAAATACTGTTTGATTCCACTTATACGAGGTACCTAGACTAGCCAAATTCACAGAGTCAGAAAGTACATTGGTAGTTGTCAGGGGTCAGGGGGGTCTGGGGGTGGGGAGGGGGAATGGGGAGTTAGTGTTTAATGGGGACAGAGCTTCAATTTAGGAAGGTAAAAAATTCAGAAGAACGATGATGGTGAGAATTGCACAACAACGGGAACGTACTTAGTGCCACTGAACTGTACAGCTAAATATGGTTAAAATAGTTTGTTTTATATTGTGACTTTTACCACAATTTAAAAAACATTAAAGAAATAAAATAAACACGTTAAAAACAAACAAACAAAAAAAACCCCAAAAAACAAACAAACAAAAAGAAAGGAGAAACCTGAGATACAGTGTTAAAGTCAGGAAGTTTATTAGAAATTCAAGGAAAAACTTTCCTTACATCTACTGCTTTGCTGATCAGATAACAATCAGTTATATCAAAACTAGCTATATGTGTAAACACTGGCCCATTGGGTGATCATCACTAAGATTAAAAGCAAATATGGGGCTTCCCTGGTGGCGCAGTGCTTGAGAGTCCGCCTGCCGGTGCAGGAGACGCGGGTTCGTGCCCCGTTT